AAATACCCTGAAGAGATAGCTCTTATGTTATTATGAAACCACAAATTACTTTTTAAGATTTAAGGAGAGTGAAAGCAAGCAAAACATAAATATAAACAGCATTTGATATGGGTTTCACCACTTGGTTTCAACATTATTTAGCTTTGAACCTGCATGCACCACAAATCAAAAATGTTGCTTCTCACCAAATTACGATCAGTGGTCTAATTTTGATCTATCAGCTTTAGTGGTGGTGCAGTGATGGTGGATAACTCGTGCCCAAACCCGCCTGAACCATTTGCAGAGGAAACTAGACCTACAACAAAGCAGGGGGTTTGCTTTGTGATGGCCCATCTCCTGGGACAGCCCACCTTGCCCCTGCTCCTCTCCTGTAGCTGCTGCATCCTTCCTTCCTTTGGGACGAGGCTTCGCAGCTAGCTACTGCAAGATAACTGTTTTGGCGAGACTCATTTCCCAGCGTCAGGCAGCAGCGTTAAACGGAGGTTGGAGGAAGTTGGAGGTTGTCTGTCCCCAAACATCTCCACCCATGGTCTTCTTTGCACCAGCGTGAGCCCGGAGTAGCTTCTTCAGGAGATGGTGGGGATGAGGTCAGACTCTGCTCCTGCTCCATCCCCAGCCTGTGGCAGAAATAACTCCTGTTGTCATCAGAGCGGTCACTGTAACACGTGGATGAGGTTCAAGTCAGGCCCGGTAGCTTCAATGAGATTTTTGTGCGATTATAACAAGAATTTGACACACATGGTGAACTACTAGTCGTGTATATGCGATCCGTCTCCATGCTGTCCCAGGAATTATTTACCAGCACAAAAATCAGTTAATGAGGGGACATGTCAGGAGCGGCCTGCTGCTGCACAAGGGATGGCCCGGCAAGCTTGGGGACGGATGAGCTGTGTCCTTTCCACTTGCAAACTCCGTCGGTTTGGCCATCCTCGCTGCTGGGAGGGAACATTGACTTCACTGTGGTTTTTTGCTGAACGCCGCAGCAGAATTTATGCAAAGTTCTGTGTGGATGTCGCAGGAGTGCTCAAAAGCTCACCCCATCTAGAGCGCCTCAGGTCCTTGAGGATAATGAGACGTTTTTTCTGAGCGCACCTTTTTATTGTACCAATATTACGTTACGGGAAAAATGGAAGGGGGGAACTTAACACATAGCACCTGTCACAAGTTCTCTCCTTGAATTAGGCTTTCCTGCTTATAAAAATTTAATTGATTCCTAGCAGTTTATGTGCGTGGTGCTCAGTGGGTGTTTTCTGTTCTCTTGCCAGCTACATGGTTACTTAGAAAGCGAGCCGCTCACGCTACAGCTGTTCATTGGGACTGCAGACGACCGCCTGCTGCGGCCCCATGCTTTCTACCAGGTTCACCGAATCACCGGGAAGACTGTTTCCACCACCAGCCACGAAACAATACTTTCCAACACCAAAGTCCTGGAAATTCCGCTTCTTCCAGAGAACAACATGAGAGCAATGTAAGACCCAGGCACGGTATCTGACTCCTAGTAGTTTCCTCTTGGCCACCTCGCTTGATTTCTTCTGTGTTTTTTTGAGGTTTTTTTGTACACAATTTTCCTATCTTTTTTTTTTTTTTTAAGTTCTCTCTGTAATAGTAGGTTTTCACAACTTTGCCAGGACAAATTGCCTCTAATCAGCTTAACAACAAAATGAACTTCGCAAATATTTATGACAACTGATTGCTTTCATTCTAGAGTTTCAGCCAATGTGCTTATTTGCCATTTAAAATAAGTATCCCAGTTACCAAGCTGTAAATATCTCCTACCTCAGCTCCTGCATTTAGTTTCTAAATATGACACCTCTTGCTCCTATACGCGCTAGCACAAGGAACAAGGCCTATTAAAATTTATCTTTGGATGTCAAAGGAAACTCTTAGAGAGCATTTCCAAGTACCCTAGTGGTCTTTTGAGACAAATAAAACCACTCTTATTTCTTACTTAATAAAACCCAGCATTTTTCATGGCATTTGTTTAGAAGCAAAGCTTCTAGAACTAAGAAGAGGAGTAAAGGTGATACAGCTTACAGATTGGAGTTCTTAAACTGGGGTAGGTTTAGTCCTATGCAGAAAAGCAGGCATGGATGTCTTAGGATCTCTGAATTAGTAGGAGTCTGAGTGGTAATTTATAAGTGCCCCGTAGGTCCATTACACACAGGTAAATTTCATTATAGGATTGTATATAAAGGTTCAAATATGTGACATCCTCTGTGTATGTGACATATGTGAGGGCCTCCACATTATTTAATCCCGTCCTCTCTGCCCACCTCATTCAAATGATCCTACCCCTTATCTGATGTGTCTGCTTTGGGGGGAATTTGTGTATGCTTGTGTGCGTGTATAACTCTCGGTATAAGTGTGAATTTCTTCATACTTGTACATAGGTGCGTGTATATGGTAGGGAGGTAGAAAGGTAAGTAGGCAGATAAACAGAAAACAAGCAAGAAATCCTGGCCCCACCAAACCAAATACCATGGGAAAATCCCAGGGAGCTTACTGAAATCACAATTTCACTCCTTGTTGTTCATACTTTTCCGCACCTTAATGAAGTGAAAAATGGTATCAGACACCTGAAGTCCTTCCGCCTGTAGTGGTTACTAGAAGCTGGTTTGCAGTGTCATGTACAACATGCCCTGGAGTGTCTCATGTAAGAGCTAGAATGTGTCTAGCTGCATTGCCAGCTGGGCTTAGAGTGATCACTCAAGACCCGAGGACCTCTGTCAGTGCATTGTGTTAAAAGTCATGACAAGCAGGCCTGCAAAATTATTGGCCCCGTTTGCTGTCGTTGTAAGCTGGCACGACTCCATTGAGGTTACTGAAATGTCACCAATTTGTACCCACGCAATATTTATTTGGCCCTTTATTTATCCAGTTTAAATCACATTTTTGGCCATCTAGGGACATTATTACTGTTTCAATCATCTTTCTCCCTAGAATAAAGGTAGTTATACAGTCTGGGAGCCAAGCTGAATATTTTTGTGATGTGCGTGCCAGATTGTAGTAGAGCTCTCTCAAGAACCACAAACAATGCTCTGGAATATATAAGCCTTACACGTCAGTAGTCTAAAACCTCGTGTAGCACTAACAATGAATTGAGATTTGGAGCCAAGGACTTTTCTCACACATACTTCGTGTATTCAGGCCTTGATTCAGTGAAACACTGAAGCTCATCTGCACATTTAAACTTTTGCACACTTAGCTACCCCTATTGACTTCAGATTTTAATGTCTGTGACTTTACAAGCCTGAATTTAAATGCTGTTTCTCCTTTAAACCTTATCAGCTCTGAACTAATTGTCATTAAGTACTTTGTATTTATTTTACAAGTGTTGCTATAGGAGAGATAATACTGAGAAGCGCACTGTTTCTTCCGTATCTTAGGGATCTTAGCATAGAATTTTGACATGAGTACAAATATTTCATAATTCTTATGGCTTCACCTGCTAATATGCGTTGTTGAGAAGCTTTAATACTTTCATTAATTTCTTTGATCATATCAGCAAGGGCCTTTTTGTTATTCTGAAATCCATACATCAGAAAAAATGCAGATCAAAATCATGCTGCCATAGTTCTTGTTTGCAGTTTGCTTCAGAACAGAGCTTCAAAGGTCTGGAGGGGGAATTAAACTCTTTGAATGCAAAATAAAATTAAACTATGCATATTCAGTGTAATAAAATGCATGCCAGAGACCAGTACCCAGAATAAATTGGCATGTAGGCTTTGTAGTCATGGCCAAAGCAGAGGTATTTTAGCAGTGGATCTTTGAGTGTATATGTTTATAAATTTTTTGTTCTGGGAACTTCCTCCACTGAAATTTGCTTTGACAAAAATCCTGACTTGTAAACTCATCCAGGAGAAAACCAAAGTTTAAAAAAAGGAGAGAGAGAGGTCAGAAACAGTAATTGTTCTATCTGACAAAAAGCATGTTTTTCCCTAATGTTGGAGGGACAACTTGATGAGTTTAGTTTTTTTCATGCAGAGCTTCAGCTCAACACTTAGCTTGGGAGTATTTCCAACTCATTCAGATACAAACATACTGACAGTAGAACTGACCTCAGGGAGAGCTGTGCTCATTAATAAGCATTTTCAGGACTTTGCCCTAGAATAAAAATAACATTAGATTTTTCTCCAAATTAGCTGTGACAAGTGAAATCGTAAGTAACTCCGTGTTCTAGGTTAGCAACACTTTGTGCACTGTCTCGTCCCATTGACTTCTCTAGTCTCGCTATTTCTTTGGCTTTGGTTAATCTGTATGTGCCATCCTTACAGTATGTGTTGGGGAGGAAGGATCTTTTAGATTTTCTTCCTCTGGGAACTGAAGTAACATCCTAAATTTACATGCTCAACAGCAGCTACTACCTGTCACTACAGAGCGCCCCAATTTAGCTACTTGTGGATGCAAGTACTAGGCTTAACAAAGTCTGCTGTGTTCAGCCTGGTCATTGGGTTGTGGTCTGACTCAGATTTTTAAGAAGGACATACAGGAGAGAGGGAAGGTGTTGCCTGAAGTCCACTTGAAATGAATTGAATTGCTCTGTATTTCCTTTTGGATAGCATTGACTGTGCTGGGATATTAAAGCTCCGAAACTCTGACATCGAGCTGCGCAAGGGAGAGACGGACATTGGTCGGAAGAACACGCGCGTGCGGCTGGTCTTCAGGGTTCATATCCCGCAGGCCAATGGCAGGACCCTCTCCTTGCAAGTAGCCTCCAACCCCATTGAGTGCTGTAAGTAGCAACAAACACCCTTCTCTTTCTGGGTATTGTGCCACCCCAGACAGAGTCTTTGTCCACTGACATGCTATACATTGGTTTTGCTTTACCTGTGTAGTCGGCGAACCTTAATCTGCTTTCCGAAAGCACGTGGTTTATATTGAAGACAAAATACCTGTGTCTTAGAAAAAAACGTGTAGCTTTGTGCATTGATTTCTATGGGAAAGAACACACTTAAAACAAAAGTGGAGTGCACTTAAACTAATAGTAGACCTGGGAGTGACAAGACTTTTTTTTTTTTTTGTGACTCCCTGTCATACAGGTAACTGCTGTAGCAGGTTTGGAAAATGGCTATCATGTCCTATTTGCTCTCTGTCTCCCCATCATAAAGCAAAAGCCAGCAAATAAAACCCCAACCCCTTTGATGAGGAGCCAGCAGTATACTAGAGTTGACGCACTGGCACAAGCTGCCTGCAGCTTCAGAAAACCTCCAGAAATCAGATTTCTGCACTGGGGTCTCTTTGATTGCAGACTGCTTTTTATCAGATACACTGGGGCACCCTCGAAAGACACCTTGCTCTGTAAGCCTCGCCAGGCCTCCCACACACAAAACAAAACCGTATTTCCTTTGTGTAGCTTTAACACTCTAGCATAAGTGGTGGAAATTGCATTTCAGTCTAACTCCCAATGCTAATTTGGTCAGCTGGATGGACTGAAACAGTTTTTTAAGGTTTTGTGGGATTCCACAAAGTGGATCTTTCTGGTAGGAAGTAACTTAATGTCCAGCGGATATGTTGGGGGGTGAGCTCTGGGGGTGGAGAGCAGAGGGGCTGGGAAGGAAGGCTTGACCATCCCTAGCTCTTTGCATGCTGGAGTGTCGTGTCTGCCCCTGTCCCTGCATCATTGCCAGGCTGGAGTCCCACACAACGTGTCTGGCAGGTCCTGGAGCGTGTCAACATTTGATCTCTTGGAGGCATGGTGCTTCTTCAGGGATCGTTAATAGAGAGGCTGCAGGAAAGAGCATCCCTTTGTTCCTCTTGCAAAAACAGTGGCAATGGTGACAGACTTTCAGACCAGGGACAGTACTCCATCCTTTTGCTTCAGGTAGCACCATTGCCGCTCTGGCAGTCAGAGTCTGCAAGAGAGGCAGGAGTTGCAGGAAAGGGTAGTGCTGTTAGACCAACACTGATAGCTTCTCTCCTTCACTGTCGTTCATTTAAATAAACAAACGAGCGTTGGCATGGGAAGGCAGTTACATTAAGGTAAGCCTATGTTATTTATGAAGAATAGCAGTGTCTTCTTACCTATAGCAGGTAGACTGGCATAAAGCCCTGTCTTTGTCCAGGACATGTATGAGATGAATAATTTCCCCTTTGTTTCTTATTCAAGGGCAAGTTGTAGGCTAATAGGCAAAGCATAAATCATGAAGAGTCATGGTTTCATCCTGCTCCTGGTGATGTTGATGAGAGCTTTTCAATTGCTATATAGCAGGATAAGGCACAGTTTGAACACATCCTGAACTGGTCTGTGCAAAGGTGCTCAGGAAGCCACTGAATGTGAAGCCAATTAGATTTGTATCAGTGAACTGCAGCTTTAAGGGTTGTCTAACGAGCAAAAGTGTGGTAATGTGCCTTCTGAAAGGAGCGGAAAACAGGAGAAAAAATAAGTGCTAGTGTTATTTCCAGTGCAGAATGTGGAATAAGCTGGTGCCAAAAACTTCATGCATCTCTTAGTGCATGTGACACCAGGAGGAACCATGTAATCTGGATAAAATGTCACATCATCCCTTGAAGCACAGCCACACTCACTTCGTGTTCCAGTTGGGGGGGATAAAATATGTGCCACAAGAATACCGGGTTCTGTTTGCATGGATCCATGTGTGCTTTGGCACTCAGGTTCTGGTGGAAATACAGTCTAAACTGTGAGCTTCTGCTGGATTGCGAGGCCCATGGCTGCTGCTGCTGCTAGACAGTTTGCAGAATTGACAATAAAGTGTATAGTCACTGAAACACGTTTTGGACTTGGATGGTCGTATTGTCACGTGTGCCTTATAAACACACGACGTATTTTATAGATAACGTAAGAGAAAATTATTTAAAATAAACAAATTTTGATAACAGTATACTTTTTGATATAGTACAGATCAAGCTGAGTTTTAAAACAGCTTGTTCGTTGTGAGCCTTTTGAACCTATACTGCTATGTTTGATAACCCTATTGTTTATGATCAAGGCAGTTGAAAAGCAACCATGTTTCCTGCAAAACCTTTCTTTGTTTCTGTATCAAACTCAGCTTATCTTATGAGGGTAAGCATTAAGTTACTTACTAAAGCAGTAAGTACTTATTTTTGTGTGTGCGTTTGTGGTTGATTTTTTTTAAATCCTCTTTATCACTCTCCAGCTCAGAGATCTGCCCAAGAACTGCCTCTGGTGGAGAAGCAAAGTACTGACAGCTTTCCTGTTATTGGAGGGAAAAAAATGATACTGACTGGCCATAACTTTCTGCAAGACTCCAAAGTCATCTTTGTGGAGAAAGCACCAGGTACGGCTTTTCAATCTAGACTCCAGTCTGCCTTTTTTCCCCTGTTTTAAAACCTCTGCCAAATGATGAAACCATAAATACGGTAATGACATTTTCTTCTGCATGTAATACGTTTTCCATGTCACTGGGCAAAGCTGTGAAAGTGATCTGAGCCGTGCCTAATGCTGAGGTTTCACACTATGGCAGGTGTAGTTACAGGTAGACAATAGTGACATTGAAAATCGACGTTTGGCATTTGTTTTTGTTGCAAACCATGGCTGTACTGGGTAGGACCTGTGAAAGGTGTTCGAAGCCTCTGGTGGCGTGTCCCCGTAAAACCTGCAAGATGGTGCAACTTGTTAAACCTTTCTGTAGTTCATGGAAGGGGGAGCGGTGCTGCTGGGGCTGTGTGTGCTCACCTGCGTCTCCTTCTGTCACAGTTGAGACCGGTGGCATTTGCATGCTGCTGGCTGAGGAGGACCTGCAGCGCACACACATTCATTTGAAGAACATGTTTCTGGTTTACCTTGAGAACTGCAGGAGAACTCAACACGACCGTCCCCTCACCCGGCCCTGCTCCTGCTGTGTGTTAGTGGTGGGACTGGTCCTCCTGGGGAAGGGTCCTGGGCTGGGCTGAAGCAGGGCAAGCAGCATGGGGTGGGAGCTGGGGCTGGAGCAGGAGGTGTCATCCACAGGAGCGATGGGTCACAGGGTGACAGCGCATAACATACGAATGCCCCCGCGGGAAAAGGCGGTGGGAGCAGAGCTCTGAGTCAAAGTCAGGCTCTGAAATGAGATCGTGAAGGGTAGTTTTGAGTCTTGTTTTGGAAAGGGTTTCCGTGGCGCTGGCACAAGCCACGGATTCCTCAGCTGCCGGCTGAAACCCCCCCTGAACTTTAAACAGTCTTGGGCGCTCCTCAGGCCGCCAGCGCTGGCTTTGACACTGTGCCAGTTTAACCCTCCATGTCCATGAGGTTCCCGCGCCGTTCTCCTGCCCGCGGCCCCGCCTGCAGCACAAGGAAGCTGGGCTGCGGGAGGGGATGGCGGGACGAGCAGGGGAGGCTCTGGAGGCAAAGACATCTGAGTCTTGGGGCTCAGGGGAAGAAAAGATGACTTCCTTGAAGTTCCCCAGCGGGGTTCTGTGTTGGTGAGATTTAAGTCTCCAAAAGCAAGTGTGGGACGGAGGTAATGCCCTGGGTTCCTCGGCAACAGCCAGTCAGCGCTGTCCTTGTGACCCTCAAGCGCCGCACCGCGTGCAGTCAGACTGTGGCTGTGAAATAAGCAGAACACCCTTTTTGTTTCATAAAAAAGTTTTTTTAAAAAAAAGGAAAAAAGCTGGTATTGCAATTTAAAAAAACTCTGAAGTCTACTCTTTGCATAGCATGAGAGGAGGGAAGAATGTGACTGTCTACTTTATATTTAAACTTCCTTTGCTGCACAGAAGTGGGTTAGTGTGACATGTCAGGAGCAAAGTTCTTGATCTGTCTCATTTCAGGAAGGAAACCACCTTAAAGGGTGGTTTCCCTCACACTTTCTCTCCTTTTTCTTTGTTGAGCTGGACAAATTCTGAAGTATTGCATCCCAAAGGATTATGATGATGATGGTACTCGCCCACCAGCAGGTACCACAGTGTGGATTTAGACACTGTCTCCCTTAGCATTAAGTACACGAAAAGCAGGGTGTTCACTGTATAGCCTTAAATTACAAAAATGCAAAACAGGGCCAGCCTTGTACTTCTTGACCAGACAGATACCTCCCTCAAGCAAAAGGAGTTTGAGGCTGCACAAAGACAGCATATAGATAAAAAATAATTTATATAAATGACATTTTTAAAAAATTGTGAGAGATGAAGGAGTGTACTGCTGCACACTGGGTGTGCTGATGAGGAAGAAAATGATCAAAAGGCCTTGCCTGTCACCCTGAAAAACACCTGGGATGAACTTCTTGGGTGCATGGGTTGGCAGGATGGTGCAGGAGTGTCTCTTCTATGTGAAAGCAACCACCGGAGATCCCCCTGCACCCTTCCCCCTGGCCAGGAGTCAGGGGCAATGCTTCAGGAGTCAGTCAGTCAGCTGCTATCATTGAAGAATAATCAAGATCATTAAGTCAGTATTGAAAGATCTAATCTGAAACTGTCCTGCCTGGTTTTAGTAGTCTGACAGTAGATTCATTGCGGTTGCAGGGCAGTACTGCCTTGTGGAGGTACACTGCAGGGGCCAAGCCATTAAAGTCGAGTGTTCAGCATCTCCAGGAGCTGCGTTCGTGTCACTAGGAATGGCGTACAAAAAGCAAAATTGCTGGGTGATCTGGACTGGGCAATTTCTAGGGCTTCTATGATGAGTTGTGTGCTACATTGCCTAACACAGCATGGAAACAAACAAGCGTGATACGTTGTTGTCTTAGTGGCAGACTGCTCTGGCTCAATTTTTGAGCGGAGTCATCATATTTAATATCAAACGAACAAGCATTACCAGCCTTCATTTTTGTAAATCAGCACGTGGTGTTTCTTTCCCTTTCAGCTCTTGCATGCCTGTGAAAGTAGGTCAAGAGCGGGAACACCAGCATAGTTTCTCTTTCTCTTAGAAAGCTGGTTATGAACTTTTGTGATTAGCTGGAGACATTCATTAGTTTTGCTGCTGTTACCGCTTTTGTTTTTGAATTCAAAATGTTAATCACGTTCCTAGTGGGTAGCAGCCAAACACAGCTACTACAAAGTAATAGATCACAGGAATCATTACACTCATAAAGAGAACGTATCTTTTATATAAAATTTAAATATTACACTACATAAGCTCATTTCTTCAGTCCTCACTCGGGCAGAGTCCCCAAGCCAGGAGGCAGTCTCCAGGATCTCATCTAATTCATGCTAGTCTGCATACTTAATTGGTTAATGCAAAGAGTTTGAGAAAGCTTTTTGTTTGTGTGTGTGTCCGTCCCCCCCCCGCCTTCTGTCTGAATAATTTCTTTAAGTCTGCCGAGTGCATTGTGGTCCGCTGAATGTTTTTCCAAGCATGAGTCCTAAGCTCTCCGTCTTCAGGGCTAGCCCTCAGCTGTTGTAGTCTCTGGAGGAATGGCATTATCCTGGCCTCCTTGCGTGGGGAGTCTGTCTGAGCAGTGACTCATACAAGAGGGAATCCCTGAAGAATGATCAAATCAATCCTTCAGCTGGGGAGGCAGCGGCTTGGTGCTTTCAGCTTAACCCCTTACTGGCTGCTTTTCAAGCTGAGAAGCGTATGAAACGGCAAAACATACTTTGCAGCCGTGCGACTCGGTGTCTCGTAGAGGAGGAACGAGGCAGCCAAGGGATGAAGGCAAGACGCACTGAAAGGACCATGGGAGGAGCGCTGGGAGGACCTCCTCTGAAAGGAGAACGCCTCACCATGAGGTCCAGTGCTCAGGCAGAAGGCACCCCTTTGGGTAAATAATGAGTCTGTTCAGAAGTGGACTAAAATTTGCCAAAGCCTTTTACAGTACCATAAAAAAGTTCTCATGTGTTGAAATGAGTCCTTAATTTACAGGATTTTGGTCAATGTTTTATTGCTTGCACATCAGACCATGTTTTCCAGTGATGAATTATGGTATGAAACGACTGTCCAAGAAACCTAGCAGTAGTAAAAATGTGCATGCTGAATGTGCTTTGAGAGGTTTGCTCTTTTAAATGCAGACTTTCCTGAGACTGGGGAGTCCCATGATGACTTTGTCTCTTAGAAATTACACTAATGATTGTTCTTCTTATCTTCTTTCACTTTCTGTCTCTCTTTTTAGTCATGCTTTTCTTTTCCTGAGTTTCAAAAGGGTCTTGTGAGTCTGCGTGTCATGGTTGTTGGGTGCTAGGTTTAGGATGTCCAATACCAATCTGTTTTTCATCAGAAGAATTAGTACTTCCTAAAATATAAAAAAATTTGCAGCTTCTTACTGGCAAGGGCCCTTGATGTCTGTATGCTGGTATTCGCTGTGGAGGCAAGGTGTGCATTTTAGTTATAAACGTAGATGAAATGAAGTTGAGTTTGTTAGCTATGGGAGGAGGTGTTTGGCTAGGAGGGACAAAATGTTTCCTGTCTAACACGCATCTGCAAGAGCCCAGATCGTGATCTGGGGTTGTAATAAAAGATACTGATTTGTTTACTTATATTTTTAAAACTTTTTATTTCATTTCTAGATTATAAATGTACCAGGCAACAAAAATCTTGAAGGAAGTTCAGAAAATGCAGAGGTGCTTGGAGAATATGCTTCAGGGACTATATATCTGTCAGCTACCTTTTTTTGGTAACAACTTCTGCAAACACTGTGTATTTGTTTTCAAAGCTAGTTTTTGAATATAGTGTGAGTTATTGAACACAAAGCAGCACAAAAGCCTAATAGAAATGACCAGCCACCAAATGCTGTCTCCTAGTATATCAGATTATGATTAGTGATCTACTAAACTGAGTGTGGTGGAAAAATCCTAGTTTCTCTTCACTCAGTTCACAAAACGTTGCCTGTAACTGATGAGTGAAAGCTCACTGATGAGACACAAAGCCAATAACCCAAGCACCAAGGCACAGGAAAGTCATGGGTATGTCGTCCTGACACGCGCTAGGACGCTGTAGAGTTGCCCAAGATATTCTGGGATTTAGAAAAAGTCTCGCATTAAGATCTGAAAGAGTTAATCTACCCTGAAAATTGCTCCTTGCTCCTGTAGCTCAAACGGTTTTGGCACTGGAACTAGCTCAAGTATTTCTGAACTGCATGGATTTGGCCAAGTGTAGACATACCTATGAGATTGGGTTAAACTGACTGAAATCTTCATTATTAGCAAGTTGTGATCTATTGGAGAAATGGATATTTGGTGTATTATTATTAATTATCATTCAGTTGAGTTTCCACTGGTTAAGTTAGAGCTCCAAACCCATTTCATTGTTTTTGTGCTTAGTGACCAGAGCTCAAGGCAAGAGTTTTAAAGGGTGAAAAGGCAGAAATGTAACACGCAACTTCACTATAGGTTTAGTTTCTCAAGTAACACTGACTTTGAAATTCTGATT